TTTCAAAATTAAAAGTATACAACAAGTGATAATGCCATGTATTTGCCATATCAAAGCCCAATACACATTTATACACCGGCTACGTAAATCTGCTAAGTTACAAAACATGAATCGACAGTTGTCGGATTGTACATCAATGACAAAATGTGTCTAGGCCCTCATTCTTGACTACAACTACTGCCCCCAGAGCCGCTCTCCGACGCCAATGCGTTGGAGCTTCCTGCTTGTTTTTTTTTATTTACTTCCCTTTCATCTCCTTTTTATCTCTTTTTCATTTCACCTCCTTTTCATCTCTTTTTCAAAAAATTACACCACCATGCGGTTGCTCTGACAGAAGATACTTTCAAAGTTGTTGGGAGGGAAAGCGCCTTATTTCGATCCCCAAAATACACTCCAGTAATCTGGAATCTGGTGGTTCAACCTTGGGACACCCTGTAAACCTTGTGGATCGGCCATTGGCGTCGTTAAAAATCTCGTTAAGTAGTCGGAAACTCCCGTGGTGGCTCATGTAGGGGGAAAAAAGGAAAAAAAAGGTGAAAAGAACGATACCAGAGAGGAGAGCCCTCATCATTCTGCTTATTGGCACAGGTGCGTGGATTTGTTGCTTATTAGCAGTTCGTAATGGATATGTTACTCTTGACCACTCCTCGCGGTGCGATGTTGACAAGCGTTAGGTTAATCAAAAGAAGGAATTTTTGCGAATGAAGTACGTCTGAAGGGCCAATTTCGAAAACGGAATTCTCACATATTTCTTTTTTTCATATGCACTACCTAATACATCAATTGCTAATGCCAAAAAAGCATTCAAGCATCAAAGCAGTTGCGTGGTGTGCTTTACGATGTATCGATTGATCTGCCATTTGAGCCTTTGGAAAATTCCTTGGTCCTGAGACTTGTCATTACGCTGCTGAAAGTGAACTGAACATCCCACCTACCACTACACTGAAAAAAAAAGTAGCTTGGATCAAGCATGATAATTCTTGAATTTGCCGCCAAGAATTTTCTTTATCTTGCTTTAAGCTGACTTTCTCTTGATTCAAGAAAAATAATGCTTGGGTTAAGCAAAAAAGTAGCTTATTTTAACCAGCGAAATTCTTGATTTAAGAAGAAATACTTCTTGGCGGTAAATTTAAGATTCTTTTTTTTCCAGTGTAGTCGTAATTTTAATGTTTCTTTAGTGGTTACAATTATTTTAGTCGCGGTAACAATGCTGATCGTGACGGCTTCTCTGTTGGGACCGAAATTGTCCGGAAATATCTCACGATTCCAAACTTCAGTCAAAAAGGGAACCATACCCGATCGTGAAAATTTGCCTCGGGAAATCAGACTCAGTCCTCGGTCAAAAACTGAAGAAAAAAAGGGGGCAAATAAATGCAGATTAAGTTCAAGTGGACTGCATTTTGCAAAAAGCAGCTAAAAGCATTGCTATGTTGCTGAGATTGTGCAACTTCATCCTTTCCAATAAAAGTGCTGAAATCGTGCAAATTACGAAATTCACATGTCAATTTTTGTCTTGGATTTCCGGTTTTTAGGGTGTAAAATAGAAACTTTTCATATTTTTTTTTATGTGATCAGGTTTTTCCCCCAAGATAAGGCAGGACAGCGGCGGATCCAAGAATTAGGCAACACCGGATTTCCTCCATTTAAACCTATCTTAAATAATCGATTCCTGTTGTAGCACCTGACCCCTCCTAGAAGCGATACATTTCCATAGGTTTAAATGGAGAAAAACAATGTTGCTCATTCGCTGGCTCCACAAATAAAAAAGGATCACAATCTTAGCAACATTGCAATGGTTTTGGTTCCTTTTTGCAAGACGCAGCCCATGCAATTTGTCTCCACCGAAGCGATAAAAATCTGTCGTATTAAAATGCCTGAAATCGTGCAAAAATATGAAATTTACATGGTATTTTCTGTCTTAAATTTACAGTTTGTAGGGTGTAGAATAAACATTTTTTATTGATGACCAGGTTTTCCTCCCAAGACAAAAGAAGTTGCACGATCTTAGTATCATTGCAATGCTCTTGGTTCATTTTTACAAAACGCACTGAAAGAAAATTCTCGGCTTTTTTACCAAGGTCCGTTGGCACCTTTACCATCTCACTTTTTTTACCAATTATCGGTAATTTTACCAAGACAGACTAGTAAGCTTACCTAAAAACCGGTATTTTTACTGTTTTTTTCAGGTAAGAATACCACTTTTATTGGTAATCAATTCCCGGTAACTTTGCCATTTTATCTCGGTAATTCCACCACAGTCGATAAAAAATATTGGCTTTTTTACCAAGGTCCAGTAAAATTACCGAGAAAGTTCAATAATTTTACCGAGATTTCTCGGTAAAATTACCAATTCCATTAATGGTAATTTTACCAAGAAAAAACCGGGATCAAATAGAACCCTGAATCTTGGTAATTTTACCCTTTTCATAGTAAATACACCGAGATTTTTTTCAGTGGGTGTAAAATAGAAAATTATTATTGATGACCAGGTTTTTCTCCCGAGACAAAAGAAGTTGCACAATCTTAGCATCATTGCAATGCTCTTGGTTCCTTTTTGCAAAACGCAGCCCAATTTGTCTCCCCCAGAGCAATAAAAATCCGTGCCCGGGACGTAAGTGATGGAGCAGGTGACAAAAACAACGCGCGTCGAGCACGGAGAACCTGTTGGAGAACGAGAGGAGAGATGAATAAAAATTAGAGCTGGAAATTAATTAAGTTACTTTATGTAAATAATTTTTTTTCTTATTACCCGCGCGTTTCCCTTAATTGCAGTCGACTTGCCGAGACGCGGCCTATAAAATGGCCCTGTCCGAGAAATAAGGAGCGAGAGTTGTCATGTTAAGGGAAAAACCACTTAACTGCAAATGGAGGGCGTCTGTGCGTACGCGGTTTTGTCACGGTGGGGGTTAGGGAGTGGCCGTACCTCTAAATTACCCGGCGCAAGTATTTCATTCGTTGCAGTTCTCTGCCGTGCTCCGGAGAAAGCGCGGACCTCCCTAGGGTTTGCATTGCAGTTAGGTGATTTTGTATTAGGAGAGTGGTTTTATTCATAATTGACTCAAAACAGGATCGGCCGCGAACCACGACGGGATTCAATTGGAATCAATTCGCGGTTCCGATACGGTGTCGCGAGGTTGCCAATTTGCCTCGATCCTTGAATGATTAAGGGTTTTCAATACTGCCGTGCTGAGGAAAAACGCCGTGTGAACATTCGAAAGTTGCCAAACTTCCTTCAATAAAATCATTTTTTTGAGGAAATTTATGAATTTTTCCCTCGAAATCTTCAGGAACTTTAGGTGAAATTGCGTACAAAATTATCTGAAAAATCTTCATAATTTTACGAGGAAATTCGTGTTTTATAAAAGGAAATTTGGCGACGCCTGGAGGCTTATACGGCGTTCTTCCTTAGCACGGCAGAAGAGTTTACCAATTGTTTCGGATCAACATCTATCTGCACAATGGTATATACTTTGTTTTATTCAGAAAAAAAGGTTTTTCTTCCAAATGTAGTCCATCATTAAAAATTGGCTTGATACAGATACAAGCCGAAAAATCCTTGAAATTTTCGCCGTTCATATGTTTTGGTGGATTGGCGTCGGCCATGTTAGTCATTGCGTAGCATCTTCCTGTGCAGGGGTTGGATGAAACGCCCCTTCTCTAAGAAAATTTTCACCTGTACCGTAGTACCGTTTTTGAAGCGAAGGGCTAAAAAAACCGCAAATTCCTTACAAAGATTGTGAGGTAAGGAGTGCATTTCAGACTTTGCCGATGCGCTCATTCTGATTTTTGAGAAATTTTCTGTAAGAAACAACTCTTATTTTTTCTCCGGCAAAAGTCTGCAATAGGCCAATTTTCAGATTATGTAAATACATTTTACAACTTGAATTTTGTAAGTTTTTATCAGGAGCTTTCAATTTAAATTTACGAGTTTTTTCCTTTTAATTATACTCATATTTTTAGTATCTTAAATATGCCTGTTGTATATAACACAATTGTATGCGTTTCCACTTTATAAAGACTAGTTGACCATATAGCGCCTTGATGCAAATATTCGTGTTCCACGCATGTGTGTGTTGCATACAGGGCCGGATTCAGGGGATGACCACATGGCCCACGGCCCATGGTGGCAAAATGTAGGGAGCGGCAAATTTTGCAATCTTTTTGAATGTAGGTATCAAAAAAAGAGAGAGAGAGAAATCGGATTCAGAAAATAAATTACAAACTAGAAAAGGCGACAAAATCACTCATTTCCTGAGAGTGAAAGTATAGTAATTTCTAATTTTGTCGTCTTTCGATGATACAAGAGAAAACACCTTTAATTAGTCGAGTTAAGAGAGAAACCAAACACGCAATTTGACCTGGAAGTCCTGGAACGGAGCGGTGCGGCGGTCGCGTCGGCATGAAACGCACTGCGCCTACAAGACTGCATGAATACTTCACGCATTGCGTCAAACACACTGCGGTTGGCAGCAGTTAGCGGTCGGCCTGAAACGCATAGCTCCTACAAGACTGCATGAATACTTCACGCATTGCGTCAAACACACTGCGGTCAGCAGCAGTTAGCGATCGGCATGAAACGCATAGCGCCTACAAGACAGCATGAGTACTTCACGCATTGCGCCAGCACACTGGTCGGGCAGCGGCGGAAGTTAAAATTATTACCCGCATTTATGTTACGAGTACTTGCTTTCAGGTACCAGAAATATTTTTCTTAGACTAACTTCTTCTCCTATAATAAGCAGTTTTGTGTGTGTCTTGATTAGTTCCATTTTTTCGAGTTGGTGTGTTTTCGTTCTCACTGATTCAAATTCTGTGTGATTAATCTTTGCTCTTTCAATCATATGCATGGAATATATTGGCTAGAAGCTCTTAGCGATATTTGTGGACTTGAAGGTTTTAAGTTTGGTTCAACTGATTTTCATTGCTATGAATAACTATCTAAAAATATGTGATTTTACATCAACATAAAAACAGGAAAAGAATAAATATAAAAAATGATATATGCTGCAATAAAACTTTTAATTATCTCAAATTGATTCTTACTACTAAAAACATCAATGTTGACTTTATTTGGTTACAATATAACATTTTGCAAGATTCCAAAGAATGTGAACGGGAGTAGACCAAATGCCCTTTTCGATGAGGAATGTTCCCTAAACTTAATATAATTCAAGGTTCAATTTTAGCCATCGAAAAGTTTACATCATACGGAACCCCTACTGTCCAAAATTTGCGATCTGCGTCTCCAGGGATTTGATTCTTCCATCAATCATCTTGACTTTGTCTCCAACTTCTTTGTCCGCCTGATTTTTCTCTTCAATCATCGCCATTATTCTTTCTCGCGCGTTGGCGGAATCGAGAGACTGACCCTTAAGTTCTTTCTTCAGTTGATCCGCTTTGTCTGTGAAAATCTTGAGAACCAATTTGAACATGTCTTCCTTCATTTTCTTCAAAGTTTCAATTTCTGCCTTCATCTCCTCCACGTTTGGGATACCTCTCGCCTGTAAGTTCTGTGATGTTCCCTGAAGCTGGCTGATTTTTGTCTCCAAGGCTTTGATTTCTCCATCAATCAGATTGGCCTTTTGGTTTATTTCTCTTTCTGCCTGATTTTTCTCTTCAACCATCGGCTTTATTTTTTCTTGCAGGCTGGCGAAGTCAAGGTTCTGGCCTTCGAGTTCCTTATCAAGCTGAGCCTTTTTGGCCTTGAACATAGAGCTGGCCGTTTCGAACATATCCTCCTTCATTTTCTTCAGAGTCTCGATGTATGCCTTCATCTCCTCCACGTTTAAGAAGCTTTTTGCCGGGAGCATCTGTGGTATTCCTTGAAGGTGGCCGATCTGCATCTCCAAGGCTTTGATTTCATTATCAATCAGATTGACCTTTTGCATCATTTCTTTTTCTGCCTGGTTCTTCTCTTCAACCATCGGCTTTATTTTTTCTTGCATGCTGGCGAAGTCAAGGTTCTGGCCTTCGAGTTCCTTATCAAGCTGAGCCTTTTTGGCCTTGAACATAGAGCTAGCTGTTTTGAACATGTCTTCTTTTATTTTCTTCAAAGTCTCAATTTGTGCCTTCAACGATTCCACGTTCGAGCAGCCCTTTGCCCATGACATAGGTGGTTTTCCCTGAAGTTGGCTGATTTCTGACTCTAAGCATTTGATTCGTCCATCAATTAGCTTGACCTTTGTTCCTACTTCTTGGTCAGCCTGGTTTTTCTCTTCAGCCGCTGCCTTTATTTTCTCTTGGACGTCGGCGGAGTCGAGATCCTGGTCTTTGCGCTCCTCCTTTAGTTTAGCTGCTTTGTCCGTGAAAATCGTGAGAATAGTTTTGAACATGTCCTCCTTCATTTTCTTCAAAGTCTCAATGTGTGCGGTTTTCTCCTTGATCTGATTCAGTGCAGTTGCTTCACCTCCTGAGATGCTGACATTGTACTGATTTGAGTCAGAGACGGATGGGGCAAAGTGTGCCTGGAAAAAATAAAACGCCCACTTAAAAAAACTTGCCTACAAGTTACGCGCAAGTTTGATTGCCACCGCAACTACATGCCCAGTGGCGAGGTGTGAATAATCGGTTATGGATATTTTCCCATTCAAAGCTATGGAAAAGAATCGATTATTAAGGTGTTTGTTGCGAACACCTTGTTTATCGATCCTTTTCCAAGCGTTTATATGGCAGGTGAATCGATGTATCGCAAAGCACGCCACGCCACTGCACGTGTCTAATCTCACAAAATATCTCATTTGTTTTTCTTTCGGCTAGATGTAGCAAATATGGACGTATTTCTATCAAACAGAACGATGTGCAGATGGAAAGATGGGGTGTGCTCGTTCGTTCGTGCTCGGGCCATAAGAATGAATGGGAAATATAAAGCGCCATATCTTGGTGTTTTTTTTCTCATATATGTCGGGGTCACTTAAGGTTTTGGTTGATTTAATCAAATTTTTGGTTGCTTCAGCTTAAAACTTGGTCGATCAAAAAGAAATAATTTAACCTAAATTAACCGAAAAGCAGAAATTTTTCATTGTGTAGGCGTTGTTTATGCCCAATTTTTCGTTTGCCGAACGAAAGAGCGTAACTCTATTCCAAGGTTGGAAAATTGACCAAACAATTCAATGTTTTAAAGAATGTACCCGTTCAATTTACGTTAAAAATTTGTCTGATTTTTGCATGAGATCAAAAGAAAAATCAATAAAATTTTCAGTAAAGGACTTCAAAGATTCTCCTGACGAAAATGCAATTTATAAGGGGAAAGGTAACAGTTATGAGGGAAACACGAATCGTCGAAATGAAAGCAAACAGCGCTTCTAGCCAAGGAATGTGGCTTAAACAGAGCGGCAGACCATGGTATGCCTTCATTTTGATCTGCTATGCAACTATTTCAACAAGGGAGTACTATTTTTGCCACATTCTCAAAATGAAGGAAATTTACCCATGTTTCTGTTTTGCAGGGACAAAGCCCTACAATAAAATGATGGATGCATCAGAAGACCTGTCCCCTCATCAAAATTTCCCTTAAAACATTTGGAACGAGTTAAAATTCCGAAACCAACTTAAATTTGAGACTTTAAAGCGTCATTGAGAAAATTATCGTTGCTTTTATGGAATTCGATTTCCTATCTACTTTCCTAGTCGTTGATACGATGTCATATCCATGTGGTAACAATTCTTCCGATCCACGCAACGATGGCGCATTGTAAACGGGACTCAAATAATCGTCAAAGTATCAGTGTGAGTACAAATACAACCAAAAAAGGAGGTAGAATATGGAATATAATACGTGCACCGTAAAAGCAACGACTCTTTTCTTCTCTATGCAATAAAATTCATAAAAATCAATAAATCCTCCCATCCATGATATTTACCAAAATCCAACAGCAAAGCGGTCATTAAAGAAAACTAATATTTGTATGAGTAACTAAAATTTAGTTTTACAAAAATTTAATTTTAAACAATTCTGAGAAACTTCTTTCACCATGAAACACCCTGAGAATCGATTTACTCCCGATTTAACTCGAGTGGACTTGAGTGTTTGCGCTGTCACGCACGTATTCATGTTCAAGTGGTCTCGGCAATTGAGAAGTCCTTAGATTTAAATAAAACAAATGAATCCCTATTTTTCGACGCTCAGAAGTTCAGAAAGTAAGATTAGAGAGATTAAAACGACTTTAAGTGCAGTTGTGGGCTACTTAAGTGTCTTTCTGATGTCCGTGATTTTCACCTAGAAGAGCCAAACCTCACTTTTACTCAAATCTTTGTAAGTGGTTTTGGCGCTTTTATTCTTATCAGAGTTCTATAATTATATACAACTTGTGCGCCTAGGTTAAAGATCAAAACAGTTACTACTTAAAAAACAACAGTAATCAAAACCAACGTTACTACTCCAAAATGGACGTATTCCTGCCGAACGGAACTATGTGCATTAAGACATGAGCCCTGAGACCCCTAAGAATATATCGACGGTGAAAGTCGGCAATCACATAACTCGTTTGCGGTGTCTGAAAATCTCCGCCTCTACGTCATTTTTTTAAAGGAGAACGAATTGATATTATTTCTTGAAGTTTTTGCAGAATTTTCTTCGCATTGAGAAAAAAAATCATGACAGTTTTAAAGAATTGCCGTTGAGTAGTTTTCCATTTTAAAAATAAAGTATGACAGAAGTCTGCGACGTCGCAAACCGAGTTATGTGATTGCCGACTTTCACCGTCGATATGCATAACAGAGCTCGCGTCATGATGCACATAGTTCCGTTAGGCAGAAATTCGTCCGAATGACGTTGCGAAAACGTTTATTTTGGAAGTAATGTTGTGACAACATTTTCTCTACCTTTTTCACCCAGAAACAAAGAAAAGCCCTCCACTGATCTCTTAGACTTGTGAAAACATTCCCTTTTCGGGATTCTACGCTTCTTCATTTAAAATTATATAAGGCAGCAATTGTCGTCATCCTCTTTTTGACTGCTGACCTACCTACCAGATGGATGATGAGCTTCCGAAAGTAATGATCCAAAAAAGTTTACAAAACTTCGGTTCACTTGCGAAACGAAATGCTCAACACGTTATTTAATATCCATTTAGTAGATAGCTCAACAGTTGAATGATGGGATTTTGTCTCTGTTTTTGCCGGGCAGCAGTGGCGTGGCGTGAATTGCGATGTATCGATTGTTATGCCATTTAAGCCTATGTAAAAGGATCGATTAACAGGGTGTTCGCAGCGAACACCTTAACAATCGATTCTTTACCGTACGTTTAAATGGCATAACAATCGATACATCGCAATTCACGCCTTGCCACTGCCGGGCGGGCTGCAATCCACTGAACTAGACACACTCTAAGTACGCTTAATGTGTGCTATAATGTGTCCTTTCAAACTAGGAGTTTGCACTTGGTATTTCTGACTATCAAACTTTAACAACTACCAACTATTTTTTAGTGCACTGAAAAAAAAAACTCCGGTCGTGGAAGCCGTACTTACGTGTTATACAGACATTCCGCCCACGTTCCGGACTCAGAGGCCGAAAGTTCCGGACGTAGCATCGGGAGCAATCTATGCCATGGCTCCAGCACCCGGAACTTTCAACCTCTTGAGGCCTGGACTAACGGTGTGTCTATATAGCCTGTAACTTCCTTTTTTCTAGCGTGACACGTGTTGAAGTCGGCGATTCTGATCAAGTTTTACGGATATGCTCAGCAAAAAAGGTTCAATCGAACACGTATGTTGAATTATTTCAACTATTAATAACCCTTCAAACGATAGGTGTTAAGTACGGAAAAGATGTGTATCAGTTTCACAGTAACAGGGATTGCATACGGAAGGAGGGAGTGTCAAATCCTTGAAGTGTCTAGGGAGGATAGGGAGACTGTGGCGGTTAGGCGCCGCAGAGCACTAGAGAGCATGCGGATTTTATATGTTCGAGAGCTTCAAGTAAATAGTAGCAAGACGTAAATGATCGACCATCGATATTTCCCCTTTTGAGACCATAGTAAAGAATCGATCATTAAGGTGTTCGTTGCGAACACCCGTTCATCGATCCTTTTCCATACACTGTTAAAAATGAATGATTTACACTGTGACTGAGTGAATAGCCGGCGTGAAAAAAAAATCCAGCGCGAATTTCGCGCCGCACTCTGAGTGAATAGATCAGAGCGTTAATATCACCAACGACAGACGAATTAGTTGAGGTACCTCAAGTAGCGTTATGAGTGCCGAATGGCAAAGTGGTAGCGCACTCGTCTATCACCGCCGCGACTCGAGTTCAGATCCATGCTGCGGCAGTTCCGTTTTACGTTTGCCTGTCAGATTTTCACTAGAGTACCTTTATAGCGAGAGTATGGACAGATCGCTTGATGGAGAGCTTAGGGCCCAAAAGTGCAGCCACCCTTCTGAACAACTTCTATCACACGAAATTTCACTGCCAGCCTACAGATTTCAATTCTAACCAGGGTGGCCAAGAATGTACATAAGTGAGCGTTCTTTCGCAAAAACAAGTAAAATTATGCAAAAAGTAAGCCAATCACATGCTTTATAAACGACGGTTCGTAACAATTGTATTTGTAAATCATTCTGGACATTTGAAATTCATAGGTTGGCTGCATTTCTGGGCCCTAACTTTATTCGCGGAGGCATCGGTGAAGGCCTGATGAATTTTCGGAGTTTCACATCTGTCTATACTCTCGCCTTACAGGTACTCTAATTTTCACTCCCGCCAGAGCGTGAAATTCGCGCCGAGCTTATTTCGCTCCGGATCCATGCATTCAGAGTAACAGGTGGTCAAAATAGCAACTGAATAAGCGTGAATTTTTAACAGTGTAGGTTTAAATGACAGATCAATCGATGTATCGCAAAGCACAGCAAGTGAAGTAACTCTTACCTGCTGAATAAAAGCGGCGAGGAAGAGGAGCGCCAGTGGTTTGTACCCGAAACCCATGGTTGCACACTTGGTTGTGAGTACCAATCCATGCTCCGCGTTCCTGTTTATAGGCCGATTTTCAGTTCCAACCAAAGGTTACCTTGTGCCTGGAAATAGGAAAAAATCCAATAATGAGAAAATATTTAAAAAGCTAGGCCTAAAAAGTGCAGCTTGCCGAGAATCAATCGGACGCATTTCTATCAAACGGAACTGTGTGCATTGTGGCGTAAGCCCTGTAATGCATACACTCTTACTGGTCGCAGGGCTCATGTCTTAATGCACATAGTTCCGTTTGACAGAAATATGTCCAATTATTGCCCTTGCACGTTCGATTACGCGTCACGCATATCGATCTACAGATTTTAAATAACACGTCCTCTTTCCAGGTAAGAATAACTGTGGGTGCTAACCTGTGGCAAATCTACGGATAAATCAACCATAAATCGTTCTGAAAGAATTCACTTTGATGTTCGAGCTGGAATCTCTGTTGAAAGTGACGCACTTGTTGACATGACCCAAGTCAACTTAATAAACATAGCACCCGGAAAATGAGCGTTAAATTGTGTTGTAGAGGAGGAATAGCAATTAATGCGGATATGATTGACGCAAAAGGATGTGCGAATTATTAAAAAATAGTTCCTGAAACACGACAAATTCGCGGTCTAACTAGATTTAAAACACTTCGTGGTGAGTATTACTCATTTGGTTCATTACCACTCAAGTACAACTTTGTGGTACTGGTGCAGGACTATAGCAATTAATGAGGGGTTGATTGACGCAAAGGACGTTGGAGTCATTAAAAAGGATAGTGCTCAAATGTGTTAATGCCCTGTGACTTATTCTTTTCATAGAAATTGAAACAGCTTTTAAAACACTCAGTTCCGTTGTGGGTTTCCGGGGAGTATGATTTTTATGATGAAAAAAGTCTATAGGTGATGTAGTAATGTCCGTGGTGAGAAAGCACCATGGAAAGAACCACGGTAAATTTTTAGCAGGAAAGCTACATGGAAAAATTCTTGAAAAGTTTGAATTTCCGTGCGCTAAAACTCGGACCGATTGGTCAACTAATCTCTTCAGACATGTTGGAATCTTCAATGATCAACTGATTTTATTAGAACAGTCATTTTTCTTAACGTATAATTATGTGCGTCGTGTAATAATACCCTAGATTCAATTTTTTTGCTTGATTTTCGTGTCAAGCTGAAAAAAACTTTGAAACTAACGAGAAAGTAATATTGTTCTGAGAACAAACCGAAAAACAAAAAAATTCGCAGAGGAACTAAATGGAAAACATTTCATTGTAAGTATTAATCATTTAGACCATGTTCACCCTCGTATAACCTTGAGGATAAGTTTTCAGAACATTTTTTGCATTTTCACTATTCTCCCTCTTTCCAGGAGCTTTTGTAGTAACCTCCAAAAATGGTCGACATTTAATACAATGGTCCAAAATCGATGTTTTTACTGAAATATCTTACGTTTGAAATAAATGAAATGGCAGGAGGCTGATACTGATGTACTCTACTTCAACTACTTATCGCTGTTCCTTCAGGAATGAAAAATTTTAAGTGATTAGCAACTTTGGATAGAATAAAGTTTAATAAGCTCACAATATTCATTATATTGATTTATTCAAAGGGATCAATATGCTACCCGTACTCCAAAACAAGAATTGCTGAAACAAAATTTTCTCCATTGAAATTGATAGTTCGAGTCTCCTTTTTTCATGTGGTCCCTCCTTGAAAGCAAAATGCCAAAAATAAATTAATCGAATTGACAATTAACGATTTGCGTGGTCAATCTCCGTTTTTAATATACATTTTTTCTTCTTCTAGATTTTTTAGGAGCATCCAGGAACAAGATTTTTTTAAATTTGAGCCTCCATAGGTGGTAATACACTGCTATGAATGAATAATCACCCTAGTCGTGACAGATTATCCAATGCACGATCTTATTTTTTACACCTTTTACATCTTCCATAAAATTTCGGCCAACCTGTCTTTCAAAATTTGGTTCGTCCGCAATTTGGATCCGTCATATTGATCTTGTATTTTTTATTGTCAATTCCTTTGACTTCAACTTTACACAAACTGCATTTTGATAAAATACGTACGTGTATCTGTTGGGAGACCTTTTGTGGTTAACAGAAAAATCCTGGCTTTCAAGCAATAGGTAATTTGTTCGTCCAATGAATTAACTTTACCAGCAATTACTATCACAGTTAATTTTATAAACTTTCTATGATAACTTTTCAATGGATATTAGAATCTTATGCGGGTTCACAAATTGATTTGCCTGCCATTTTTTTAATCCTTAAAAACATTTTCAAATTTCTGCTCTGCCTTTCCGACGAACATATGACAGAAGGCATCTTTGTTACTTTGTCTGTCAGGAATATTTTTATTTGTTCTCGTTCATTGAATTCATTTTCATTTCACTGCGTAAAAATTCTGTAAGAATTCAAGAAGAAGACAGAAAATACCTGATTTTATCCATTTTATTGTTTGTTTCATACTTGGACACTCTAATGTGGAGGCGAAGAAAATATTCAATGTTCATACATTGATGGTAAAATTGTGGACACACGTATCTTGATGTCGTCCTCTGTTGCGTTTTCCGTTTCCCCTCATTAGTAAATTTAAAACAAGCTGCTGGTTCCAACACTACTGTGTTGGAGAGCTCGCCTTTAGGAAACTATTAACAACTATTAATGATTTTTTCTGAAATTGTGTATGTATTAAATGAATCTTTACCCAATTATCAGAGGTTACATGCCGATGCAAAATGTTATGACGTAATTTCATATGACAAATTTTTCACATTACAATAAATAAAGAGAAATAAAGAGAGAGAAATGGAATTATCTTTTATGAATGTGATTTTGCGGCAAATGTTGCAATGGCTATTTTTGC